ACTTTCCTGATTTGCCCTCTTGGCCCTTCTAGAATAGACTTGAAACACTTTTGGGCTTGAAATACGTTGGGCTACAATATTTGGATTCCCATCAGATACCCATCTGGACGATGAAAATTTTAGAGATCAAGATGGTCAAACATGGACTGGAGAATCTTTTTTTGGAATTTAATTATATTGGCATAATAACTTAAAGCACTATGACAATTATTCATCACAAAATGTGGCATTTGTTACTGATTGTGCTATGGTAGTTTTTTACGTACATAAATCAGTTTTTCATAATATTTCGTATAGCTTTTATACATTTAGCCAGTATACATGTCCTAGAGCCCTTATTTTTTCACTACAAGTTCTGATGGTTCCACTTTTAGCAATCACAGCTACTTTGAGATAAAAGGCTTTTTTTATATATTCTTGTTGCACTTGCAATGAAGTCTACACACTGATCATACTAATTAGCTCTCATCCGTGCGTCCCATATTTTGACTCGACATTTTCACCAATCTCAAGGCTGCAAATATTTATATGGCAAAATAGCGCCACCATTTTTCATGTTCTTGTAATCTTGTGGGCATGGTAATATTTTTATATTTTTTGTCAATAGGAGTCTATCGGAAGATAATTTACAAGTATAAGAAGCCATGAGCTGAGACTTGGTTTGTGGTTTGGTTAACAGGATTACCAGCAGAGACTATGATCGAAAGATTTGTGACAGTTGGAGCCTACTGTCTATTGAGGTCTTGCCACATCGAGCCAGAGTGCATAATTGGGCAGCATTCAATACTGATGGAAGGGTCTTTGGTTGAGACCCATTCTATTCTGGAAGCTGGATCTGTAGTCCCTCCAGGAAGGAGAATTCCAACTGGGGAATTATGGGCTGGTAATCCGGCAAGATTTGTGAGGAAACTGACTCATGAAGAAACCGTAGAGATCCCAAAACTTGCAGTTGCGGTTAATGACCTGAGCAAAGAATATTTCAATGAGTTCTTGCCATATTCAACAGTATACTTGGAGGTTGAGAAGATGATGAAGTCTCATGGGATTTCAATTTGAAAAGTGAAGTCCTTTTTTTTATGAGATATGTTTTTGTATCAGCTTTTCCTTGAATTGAAAGGGAGAAATAAAGGAGACGAGGGTGGTTGAGTTTTTTGCTTGTGTTATGTATCTTGATTTCAAAGGCCAGTGAGGGAACTGGTTTCTGACTCCTGTGACTCACTTCCATTCATGTGAAACTCCCTTGTGTATCGTAGGGCATGAAATCAAGTATCATAAATGCATTCATAGTTGTATTGTACTTAACATCTCATCAACATCAATTAAGATATACTGACAGGCAACGAAAATTATGCCCTCAGTTTAATCTGGATTGAAAATTTGGACTTCTAGATGATTGAATGCATTACATTACAATTGTTTTCTTATCCTTATTGATTACTGTTTAATACCCCTAACCAAAAACTTGCTAAATTGTTTTGGATTGACTTTAGTCCTATTCTTAGTGGAAAGCCTCTTCAATAAAATACCTTTCTTCCCCTTTTTCTCATTTTGTTCGTTGAAAGAGAACTAACGCTAGCCATTGAGTAAAGTAATTGGAAGGTTAACGTATGGTTTAGGACACGTAGTGGAAAAACCTATGTGCAATAGATGGTTTGGTCTAGGCGTATTGGAAATCATGAGGTATAACTCTTTTCGTACCTTTAACTGCTTTGTCTTTTGGATCGCTCTCCCTTGTGGGTTAAATCAGGAATTTAAAAAAAATTGAATATCGTGAATAATAGTAAATCACAAGTGACCTTTCCTTAATTTTATAAAACTAGAAGGATACTCGTGCAAGCAGCAAGATACATTTCGATTTTAATTTTTTTTTTCTGTCGATATAATACGGTTTTAAGTGGTTTTGAGAAAACAATAATGTTTTTATTTCTGAATAAATATAAATTTGAAAATATCATAAAAAATTGAAAAAAATATATCGATATTAGTATCAACTTAATTATATAAAAGTTCTCGGTTTTTTTTAATACTTTTTAATCAATTTTTTATTATTATTTAATTTAGATTTAATAA